ACTTGAAGATTAAAATATAAAGACACCTAAATAGAGATATTTCAACCTGGAGAGACTCTAAGAGAAAATGTAGCTGTTACAAAGTTTTATTGACATAAAGAAATATCTGTTTTTTTGCGGATGCAGAAGAATCATTGCTGAATGCAGTAGATCTACATTAGTAGGTAGAACTAGGTTAGAGACATCTTTGATCGTTCCATGTTTTACTTATAATGTCCTACAGGATGGCTCACAGAAGAAGCAGCAATAATTGAGCTGTTTTTAACACAACAGGAAATTTTTTAAATCCTTTTTTTCATATTTTAAATGGGAAATGTCAGTTTTTTTCAATACCCTTATAAAGAAGCAGAAGTGACACATCTGACAAATTAGTAAAATATAACCACATTACACCCAATGAGGCTAACAATTAGATCAAGACAAGGCAATTATTTTTAACAAAGTGCTGCTGTAAAAGGTGTAATCTAAAAATAGATAGAAGAAAGTATAAGTATAATGTAATGTGCTGCTCCTGATTATTACAAATATCAAATCCCATCAAGTGAAAGTAAAATTAGGTATATCTGCAAAGATTTTAAACAAAATGATTGAATATTTTAGCTCTTAATACAATCAAACAGAAGTCATGCTACAGTGTTTTGATATGTTTATTCGTTGTTTCCCCCATCTAGATTGGGAGAGTAAAACCATGTGTGAGACTAACAAGATTTTAAAAAAAGGCTTAAAGTATTAACTGACTCACATTAAGGTAACACATTTATTAAGGTTTTTGAGTCTACCTCATGCATTAGTAAGCAAAATACTTTCAATATTTTGAATCAGATCTTTAAATACACAAGATATTGGCTGGATTTGCTGGCATCATGTGAAGTGAGGCTATGAAACTATATCCAAAGGAGCAGCTATTTTTATCACCCGAAGTTTAGGTCCTTATTATCCATGATGGTCATATGACTACAGTAAACGATTGTATGTTTTTTAAATTATTTGTTGTTTTTTGTGTTTGTTTTTACCTCTGCCAGGGAAGTTATGTTTTTAGGAGAGTTTTTGTGTGTTTGTCTATTTGTCTATCTGTGTATAACTTGAAACATTTTAGATGAATTTTAATGAACATTTTATCAGAGTTGTCCCTCATTCCAAGGAACAATTTATTCAATTTGATGATAATCCAGATCATAATCTAGATAGAGGAATTTCTTAAAAGGTTCTCTAACATTGAGATAGGAATATTTGGTTGTAAAAGCAGTTCCCCACTAAACCAGGGGGTGGCAGCGGTGACCATAGATAACCTCAGAATCTGACTCAAAAAGTTCGGTGGTACTTTACTAAAGAGAAAAACACAAGAAAAGAAAATGTTGGTGTGTTAACCGGATCAATTGAAAAGTTTTAAATGTATTGTATAGAAAAGTTTTACCAGAAGTTTGCCTCATGCCAAGGAACAGTTCACTTAAGTTTGGTAATGATCCAGACCATGTGCGACTCTATGGAGGTCTGTGCTCTCTGTGCTTTTCTCGTATAAAACAGGCTTAGGTGTGGTGGATTTTATATTTAGAAGTAATCAATGCAGTTTATTTGGATCTGAAGAGAAACTTCTTTAGAACTAAGACTGTTTAAATTGAAGAATATGTTAGAAACCATGTGAGGTAAAGACTTAAGAGTGCTCTCCACTGTACTGGAAAGAGGTTTTGCAAATATCAACCTTAAAATCTTGAGGCATTCAAAAGGACATTCACAATGGGTAGATAGAACTGAATAGGTTGTGATACAGTACTTGGAAAAGAGGTTTTTGTTGTGGTCATAATCTTCAATAAGAACAGGATGACCTTATCTTGTCTGCTCTCTCAGACCCTCAGCCCCTTTCCCTTTAGAAGGCCCTACCTCTTACCACACTGCATTTGTAAATAAGAAATATGCCCTTCTTGGTTAAATAAAGGTTTTGTATCGTAAAAAGATAAGAATAAAATATACCCTTTAAATAAGGTTGTATTGATCCATTTTTTCTGTTTTTCAATAGACGTTTTGTACACCTGAAGGCTGCATTTACATATACATGTACATTTGATGATATCCTATTTTTATCTACAAGTTCCATTTTTCTGATGCTTCTAGACTTTTAAGGGTTTGTAGTTAGTCAAGATTAGTCAACAGTAATTGTGTCAGGGAAGTATCTCCACACCAGTTTGTACACATAGAATATCCACATTCATTGATTTGGTGGTGCGAACAAACAGTTAAAAAATACTGTGCATTCTTTTAGATAAATTACTGCTTCTAATACTCTTTGAAAAAGCCCAATTTGTATAAGGATTATTTCTTTCTTATATTTCTTGTCTATATCTTGTTGTACACCTCTTTGCTTGTCATGGGCGAATTTTGATTAGTAAATGATGGAAAAGATCTTTTTCTGAATGCGGTGAGTTTATTATTGTCTTACTTATCTTTGCTAGCCCTTTATTTAAAGGTTTGTCTAAGACTTGTTCAGCAGTTAAGGTTCTAAGATCAATTTCTTTCTAAAAGGATAAAACCCTTCTACAACATTGCTAAATTCATATTTAAAGTGCAAGATAATCCGTAGGACTCTTCAGTTTTTGTAACCAACACAGTTAAAAACCATTCCATATGACAAATGGTTTGGGATATTCTCCCACAACTTATTTTTCTTACTTTTGTGAAGAAAAAAAACCATTTGTGTTTATTGTGTAGACAATTCCTCCCACCCTGACTGTGATCTTTAACAATGGCTCTTTTGCAATTTCTCTCGAAACATTGAAAGTGTTGGGTCGTTGTTCATATTCTCTTCAGCTCACATGATGATATTGTTTTTAGGTCTACATACTGAGAATATCATAATTGAAGAAGGAGGAAAGCTGGAGCTCATTGCAGCCCTCCACCAGCAGATCCAAAGGAAACTGGCAACTCAACGAAAAAAGAAATTAATCAATTGCATCTTGACAAAAAACACTACAAAAAGCTAACTTAAAGTCAGGCTAATGAAGATATATGAAATGTGCAACTCATTTTGAAAATGAAAAATGTAAAAGTTACTACACAGCTTCAGAGACAGCAGGCTGTCACACTTCATAATAAGCCACTGACTGATCTGACTTTTGCTGCTTCAAAACTGGGAAAAACAGGATTGTCAACTTTAAAGCCTAAATTTGATTAACTTCTCAGTGTATTAATTAGTGTTGCCTTGTGTTTGTCCTTTATTTTAGTAGTTTGGAAATTCATCCATATTTTAGTCTCCTGAGACAAGGTGGATATGTGCAATAATGGAATTTAGAAAGGAAAAATAAAAAAAACTGGATCATTATTTGTCTCTCCAAATAACAAGTTTGGGCCTCCTAAGTAGCTGAAAGTTCTTGACTATCAGTGTTTAAAGATTTAGATTTAGGACTGCTTGACAGATTGTGTTTATGATTAGCTGTGTCTAAGCGGGTGAGAATGTGTACACACAAGTGGAAGAGCCTTTCGGTATCTCAGATGTTCTTCACAGTTCATCAGCATTGACATCTGGCCAAACAGCTGGAACCGTCTGGACAAACACAGAATGTCTGCAGATTGAGTCACTTTTTTCACTTTAGTTTCCTTCTATACAGACATTACTGTATGCATCTCTATGCATGATATCATACACATCAAATAGTTGTTAAGCTTTATCCAGACCAGGGACATATTTGCTTATGTAGCATGTTTTTTGTGTTTGTTACTGTTAGGAAATTTGAACCATATGTATGTTGAGCTTTCCAATTCTTGAATTTGAACAAAACTGTCTTTTCACTCCAGTTTGGATTTTAATCAACAGGCTGGTTACTTGTATGCTGTCTATTCAGAGCTAAACAAAGATACTTTGGTATAATTTTTAAGTCTGTGAATCGTATTTATTTGGCATCAAAGATTTGTATAAGAGGTACACACACACACACACACACACATATATATATATATGTGTGTGTGTGTGTGTAATAAAAAGTTTCCTCTTGGGTTTTCTTCTTGGTTTTTTATCTTTAATGCAAAATGTTTTTATATCTTTTTGACATTTTGTTGTAATTACTGCTGTAAGTGGGTTGCTCTGTCAGCTAAAGGCATGTTTTACATTGTCTATACTCCTTACGATCAACCGATTACTAAATTAGTTGACGTTTATTTCAATACTAGATTAATCACTATTAATCCGGTGAATTGCTTCGGCCCTAATTGTGACCCTTTTTTTTCCAGACTTCAACTGACAACTGGATTTTATCACCAATTGTTGATCTTAAGTACTTATTTTTGTTGAGGTTGCTATAATTTATATCAATCTAATGTTTATTCTGTTTCTTGGTCTTTCAGCAATGATGATCTATGTTATACATTTAGCATTGCCTTTACATTTGTTCCGTTGGCCTTTCCTAGTTGGAGAAAGATCTTTTTAAGCCTAATTGCGTACCTTTGAATAAAATTTTACATTTTTTCCCGTGTGATCATGGAAGGCTGTTTTTGCCAAATCCACCTTTTTGGAAATTATTTGTGAAGCATTCATTATTTAGTCTCCATTGACTCAAGTGACTGATGCATTCTGTTGGGGTAAAAAAAAGGCAATTAATCTGTAAAAAAAAAAAAAAACAACCCATAAAATCATTGCCCTATCACTATTCCAGAGTTATTTTTTAAATTCAAAATATAGTCATGATTTTATGTATGCACAATGCCAACCTTAATGGAAAGCAGGATATAGTGGATAACTTAAATAACTCCCACTGTGGCATTTTTGCAGTTACATACTGTATGGACATTTTTTTCTTTAATGAGAAATAATCTGACAACATTTCTTCTGAATTTAGTAGAGGATTTCTTCAAATTTTACATTAATCAGTGTGACTGTTAATGTACAAATACTTCTGTAAAAAAGGGTACTTTCCATACAAATAAGCTTGTTTATTCAAAACAAGTGTATAAAAGCCAACTTGTTTTTTATGCATATAGCTCTTTTTATTTTGTGTCGTCTCTCTCTTTTACAGGACTTTTCCCAGCTGTGCTGAATCTGGCTACCATGGCAGACATAACAACGAATGCTACCTGTGGTGAAAATGGTCCAGAGATGTTCTGTAAACTGGTGGAGCATGTGCCCGGTCAGCCTGTGAGGAACCCACAATGTCGAATCTGCAACCAACAGAGTCCAAACCCAGTTGGTAAGAATTATTCTCAGCCCTAAAAGAGTCATAGTTGGGGAAGTTACACAAACTTTATTGCTTCTGACTGACTAATCAGTGGATATTTTGGCAGAGGTTAATCAAATGTTAACTCAGATTATTTATCAAATCAGCTGAAGAATTATTTGTAAAATGAAAAGATAACAAAGTAAAAATAGCCTAGTTGTTATTCAGTTATCCAGACTGTTGAACAGTAGATAAAATGTTCAATTAGGTATTTGGCAAAACCTACAGCTAAAGATGTCTTTCTTTAGTGGAACAGTTGGTTATTTACTGGTTTATAATTTGGAAGACATTAAAGTTATATATCACTTCTAAACTTAGTTTCAACAATACTAAGGATGGGTTAGCGCTGGAATGTAATCGGTTAAACGCACAGGGAAAAGTCAAATCAAAAAATTTTTTTTTGTATTTACTGTCAGAAGCAGGTAATTAAAAATTTAAATCTTATTGTTTATTGTATTCAGATGATTGTTTAGTTTAAGAGGTATATGAAAAAAGAAAATCTTCCCTCACCAATGGACTAAAAATGTAAAAAAAAAACAGACGAGGTTAATATGTTTTCTGATGATGTGACCTATTATCAACTTAAATCAGAATTTCAGTATTCTATTGTTTTCTAAGCAAATTTGTGCACAGTTTTGACAATCATTGTGGATTAGTTTCATTAGTAATTATAGTGCTATTAGCCAGTCTAAAATGATAATAAAAGTAACCACATATTTAGCTTTCTTATTAGATAATGGATATATGGAAATTATATCGCAACCAATGTCGGGCAGAATTATCATCAAACTAAATAAGGAATTTTAAATTGTCTATCTCGTTTTTTACGCAGCTTAAAAATGTACAAATATACATTTCAGACATGTAGGAAATAAAATCTGTGCCTGATAAAGTTTAATGAGATTGGCTGTGTACAATTCTGGATTATGACCAGACTGTAGAGATCGATCCTGCTTGATTCTTCTCAAATGGTTGGAGGTTAATCTGTCTTATTTTCTCAACTAATTTCTTGTGACCCTGTTGAATATTGGTATGAAAACAATCAACGTTTCTATGATCAGACCTCAGTACCTTGGCAATTCAAGATGACAGCATCTAAAGCCCCTGTCACTCCTTGACGATTTAGATCAGCGTACAGTATGCCTGACGTATGGAAAATCTGGCGAAAACGCTGGCATACATTGGATAAGTTACCATACGTTTTGTATAAGTTATGAGCATGCTGAAGTATACTGACACACATCAACATGCTCAAAATTCCTTGACGTATGCCAGTGCCTGGTCATACGTGGGCCATAAGTTACAGGGCAGTTATTTGATCGTTGACAAACGTTAAGTGTAAGTTACTCATAAGTCGTTGTGTCTAGCTTATGCAAAACCTATGAATAACTTATGCGTAACTTATCAAGAACTTATCTCCAAAGCATATAAACATACCTGATGTGTTCCAGGCGACCGCTGAACGTGTTTCTAACTTACAGCTACCGTTTAATGGCATATTGGCAACGTTTTGGTATAAAAGGGGGTTCACAGGAGGAAACAGTCTGTACTCCTCTACACTTCATAGGGTGAGCAAGAAGGGCTGAACACAAGAAGGGGAGTGTGATGGACCCTCCCTGCCTTCATTCATGCCCACGGCCACGGCCAACAAACTTTATAGAACACAAGACGCTGAATCTGCTGCGACTGCAAACCCTCTTTCTTTCTTTTTTCTTTTTAATTTTTTCAATTGTTTTTTTTTTTTTTTTTTGGCGGGTGGTAAACAGCAGCCAGGTTAATACTGCGATCAAAGAAATCTTTTTATTCCGGCTGGGCACCTGCGGGCGCATCGCTGCCCCCCTCAGGACACTGGCTTGTGAAACATATTATGGGCATTATGCTGCCGTCCGTTATGCATAAGTTGTCGTTATGTCGTTGTTGTATGACATACACTCTGGACTTGTTATGAATACGCTATGTATACCCCCAAAATTGAGAAAAAAAAAAAACATAGTAAGTTCATCATAAGCCAGCGTTTTAAGAGATTCTGCTACATCAGGCATACGCTGGCTAAAAATCGTCAAGGCGTGATGGGGCCCTAATCGAAAGAATTTCTGTCCTGGAATCAGGTAGATTAAGTCACAATTTTAACTGATTTTGGCTGAGAGTAAGATTGTGACTAAGAATTATTAACACCTAGGATGTTAATTTAATTAGGCCACATGGTTCCTCAACACACAAAAATCCCCTGGAATCCCTAAATCCAATAAGCATCAAATTTTACATTTTACAATATGCATAAAACTATATAGTGAAAAAGACAATATTCCAAATAAATTGCACTTAATGCAATCTAGATTCTATTTTCCCCTTTTTTGAGGAGAAGCTGTTAAATTAAAGTTGAAGGAAAACCAATATCAGATGTTTTCTGAATGCTGTCCCTTAATTTAACTGGAGGCAGTTGTCATGTTTTGCTTTTTTTTTCTCATGAAAATGTCAGACATAGGCAGCAAGTTATTGACAACAACTTAAAACTACAGAACTTTACTTAAGAATATTAATTTGCATTTATGAGCACTAAAATATCTCCTATTTCTGTGTCTGCCTTTAAGAATAAATCAAATAATGTTTTTGTTGTGTGAAACTTTATTCGCCTTTTCCTTTAAAGCTTTTGTGTGAGTTGTACAGTACCAGCATCCAAACTAAGATTAGACACATTTTATTTTTTTATGTATAAAACAAATGCAACATTCTGGTTTGTTTCTGTCTATGTGCAGAGCATCATCCTATTGAATATGCCATTGATGGGACCAACCGTTGGTGGCAAAGTCCATCTATTAGGAATGGAATGGATTACCATTATGTGACAATCACTCTGGACTTAAAACAGGTAAATATTACACAAAAAAATATATATCAATTAGACATTCTACATCTTTGAACATATTAATCATAACTAATGCAGTTAACCTAAACTTTTTCAAAGCCTTTGTGTATATTAGTTAGATTTTTTCTTTTCATTGTGATATTTAAAAAAGAATCAATCAAAAACTATGTAGAAATGTTTATGCTAAGTTTATATTTTGTTGTTAAAAAAAATTGTGAGCTTTTAAAATAGAAAAAACTCTTTATTTCAATTTCTTTTTCTCTCATTGACAAACACATTTCGAAGGAAAAAATAAATTATTTTTAAATGTTTTTACAAATTATGAATCTGAAAAGTGTAAGATGCATTTATCATTCATTTAACTAGAACAAAGTCTGTAGTTTATTCTATACCTTTACCTTTAACTACATACCTTTTGAAATAATTCAAGGGTAGTAATTAGATAGCGCCCTTCTTAGAAGAGTAATTTTGTATTCTTGCCAAAGATTTAATATTTGTACTTAATACCAAATCAGTGAAAATAGCTGCATAAATTATTGGGCTGCAGATATTATCATAAACAAACAAAACCTGATGCTTAAACATGAAATGCACCAAAACAACTATATCTTCTCTGCATTCATTATACTTACCCATTGCAGAATTTAACTGCCAAAAAACAGAAAAAACTGTTGCCGTTTTAACCATCTTAAAATCCCTAGAATGGGGGCTGCTTGGTGGCACAGTTTTTATCATAATTTCCTCATAGGGATAGGGTATTGTGTGATTCCTGTGTATGTGTCTATTCTCTCCGGGTACTCCAGCTTCCTCTCACATTCCAAAAACTCTTCTTTTCTTCTATAGCAGGGATTCCCACAGTGTGGTGTGCTACAGGGTGTGCAAGACGAAGCAATGTATCGATGTAGAAGAAGTTTTTTTTTCTACGCTTCATTTAAGATGCATTATAGAGGAAGTTATCCTTCTTGCTTATTATAGTATGCAGCTAGTCTGTGGCTCTACTTTTAACTTACAAACGGATCTTATCTGTCTTTATGGTGATACAAAATAGTAATTCTTTGCTTAATGGTACCAAATCAGAGCACCTTTAACATATTTGCTGTTGCCGCTGCATTGATTGCTAAACTGTAAACAAGACTTCCTGTAAAGCTTTCTGTCAAAATATTTTAGCGCTTTTCTCTAATAGCCAGATATGGGAATTTCACGACAAATGGCTGTTACTTTAACAGCTTAGATTCTCCTATCTGAGTTAAGAATATCTGCACTTCCTCCAAAGTTTACATGGGCTTTTTGGCTGCATCTATAACTACTACTTGAGTGACCTCTGATATATCAGGTGAGCAGGAATAACTAACTAGGTTTGTACTGTAGTTTTAACAAAACCTTATTTTCAAATGGTACTTAAAGACTGCTTCAAAAGATGACTAGAGCCTAGGATATGTAGTCTAGCGCTGAGTTTAACCTCTACATTGTTTTCCTTTCATGCCTTGCATAACTTTGTGTTGATCTATCAAGTACTTTATAATTTGATGTTTGCAGTTGTAATGGGATAAAATGAGAAAAAAATCTAAGTAGGGTTGCAAGTAATGATTATTTAGCAAAGCGATTAATCTGTCGATCAATAATCGGATAACCAAAGGTTACTTAAAGATTTTCTATCAAATTAAACCCAATGAAACTACAATGTTTACACTTGAGTTATGGATAGAGCATATTGCTTGGAGGAAAAAAGTTTTTTTTATTTTTCTAAATGTAAAATGTTAACATATTTGATACAAATTTGATATAATTAATGCTCTTAGTAGGTTGCTCTGTCAGCTAAAGGCATGTTTTAAAGTCTCTACATTCAATTTAACGATTAATCGATTACTAAATTAGTTAACTATTATTTCAATAATCGGTTAATCACGATTAATTGTTTCAGCCAAAGCTCTAAGGGTAGAGATAAAACTAGGGCTGAAATTACCCTTAGGGGAGTTTCTAAGGGTAGTTTCAGTCCAAGATCTTTGGATGTAGTTTAAAGATGTATGAGGTTTAAAGTTCAGCATATTTAAGGTGCTGCTGATGGTGATCTTTTGATTAGTCATTGCTTTATCTTTGCTTTAAATTAAACATCATGAAGAAAAAGTATTTTTTCCCTTTGAGACTGGCAATGTCAACAGACTTTTAAAATGTTTGAAGCCTCATTTAACACAGCGATAACTGCACTTTAACACAGCTGGAAAGAATGTTGGTCGTGACCTTTCGTTTTTTTTTAAAGGAGTTTGCAATTAAAGATGTTGAAATTCTATTGAGGGCATAAAACCTTCATTTTCACATAACTGTGTTTTAGCTTGTACCTTCTTCAAAGTCATTCCTTAAAACTGAGGAATTACTGTTACCCTGTCTTTATTGTAAATGACTCTTTTTCTCTCCTTAGCGCAAAGTTACCAAATACCATTCAAAATTCAAATAATTTACTTTTAATTGTTGTTCTTCAAGTATTTTATACATAGTTTATGCGTTGGTGGGAAACCACTCTGACACATCTCAGACATGTAGAAGGCACCTATAGAAGTAATCAGACAGATGCCATACATCACTCTCTAGTTACCTTATTGTAAATGTCTTTGTTACTGTGGGAAGTAGCAAACTTACAAAGAAACAAACCTACGCAGACATATGGACAGATGCATAGCAACTTGAACTTTGGAAATTCTGTTGATGTGTATGAGTCACAGAACCCAGTATTAATTTATTATGTATCACTTTATTTTAACCTTAAACATCAGACCAGAGAATCTTCTTTCTTATAGTCAGACAGTCCTTCATGTGTTTTTTGGCAAACTCTGCAGGCTTTCCCATGTCTTGCACTGGGGAGAGATTCTGTCAGGCCACTCTGCCATAAAGCCCTGACAGGTGGAAGGCTGCAGTGATAGTTGACTTTGTGGAACTTTCTCCCGTCTCCCTACTGCATCTCTGGAGCCCAGTCACAGTGATCTTTGGGTTCTTCTTTACCTCTCTCACCAAGGCTCTTCTCCCACGATTGCTCAGTTTGGCTGGACAGCCAGGTCTAGCAAGAGTTCTGGTCATCCCAAACTTCTTCCATTTTAAGATTATGGAGGCCTATGTGCTCTTACGAACTTTGAGTGCTTCAGAAAATCTTTTGTAACCTTGGCCAGATCTGTGCCGTGCCACAATTCTGTCTTTGAGCTCCTTAGACAGACTCATGATTCTCGTTTAATCTGACATGCACTGTGAGCTGTAAGGTCTTGTATAGACAGGTGTGTGCCTTTCCTAATCAAGTCCAATCAGTTTAATTAAACACAGCTGGACTCCAATGAAGGAACAGAACTATCTCAAAGAGGATCAGAAGAAATGGACTGCTTGTGAGTTAAATATAGTGTCACAGCAAAGGGTATGAATACTTGTGACTAGTGTTGCACCGATACCGATACCAGTATCGGACGGGGCCCCGATACTGCCCTAAAATGGTGGTATCGGTATCGGCGAGTACCAACAAATAGGGAACCGATACCATTTTGAGAGCCATACATTTATTCAACTATTGTCACCCATTCCAGGTAGGCAATAAAAACTTTTTATTTTTATTATCCAGTAGAACTTTTTATTAACTTTGTATTAGATTTTTTTCTGCTTCACAAAGGTAGGCAGCGGCTTGACAAAACCATGATGGCAATTATTTTACATTATTATGGTATTGGTATCGGCCGATACTGCACAGCCAGGTATCGGGTATCGGGGCCAAAAAATGGCATTGGCGCAACACTACTTGTGACCACTTGATATTTTAGTTTTTCTTTTTTAATACATTTGCAAAAATTTCTACATTTGTTTTTTCCTGTCAAGATGAAGCTGAAAGGCCCTCTCGCCATGTCCTAAATCTTTAGTTTCCACAACAGATTTTGTATGAGAGTCAAATCTTGCTGAGAAACTCCAAAACATAATATATTTATATAATATATTTCCCTCGAACAAAAACTCAACAAGCTGATAAAACAAATGTACACATGGAGAATTGGAAAAATGCTGTTGGAAATAAAATCAGAACTGGGTAATCATAAGAAGGTTATTGTTTTATTTTTGGCAGAAAAATACTTACTAATACTAATTTCAGCTCATGGTTTTAATTTTTGTTCTGGAATGCATAGCAGGAATTTGTGCGATTTTGACACTGTACTAGGATATTTTAGGACAGAAAATTTAGTATAAAACCCAAAAAAAAAGAGAGTAGTCTGCTGCTATTAAATTGAAAATGAAAAGAAATAAATTAAAGCAGCATATAATTTTAATTAATGAGAATATAGTTGTAAATGTAGTACATCACAAGGCATGGCAGTACTATAGATTAATATACAAATACTTCAGAAGAATACATCAACATATTATGTACAACTAAAAATGTGGAACAAGTACAATACTAATGTCTGCCTATATAATAAAATGTGATTAAAATATTGGATATGAATAATCAGAAAGGGATGAAGACAGATGAATTTGCACACAAATTAGACAAATAGTTTTCTGCATTTCGAATGTTGAAAAGGTCATTTTCATTTGTCTTTTAGTGATGGTAAATATCAGGATTTCTAACCGCATTTATTAGCTTTTTATTTATAGTCACAAAGAAAAAAAAAAGATAAGAAAAACAGGTTATTAAAAGGAGTGTTACCTGTCAAACTGAGTATCACAATGGGACACATTTGTTTGAGATTATCATAGTGCAAGGTAGTTTAACAATAACATGACTACTGTTGCAAATATGCAACACACCATTTGTATTACAGCCAAGACAGCATGCACATCCCCCCAGTGCCAGTTATTGCACATTCATTGCATACATAGGAGGCTTTGAGAAGAACTTGTTACTGGTATGACAAGACCTTGATGGTGTATGCTATCATTGACTGCATACCTGTTGTTACAAACCTGCATAATATTTCTAGTTACTTGTTGTGCTTTAGTCCAAGTAACAATCTTAATCTTATTTTTGAAAATACTTAACG